CCCCCCCCCCCCTACCAGATCATGCTGGATCCATCCCCGATCCCGACAATGGTGATGTGTACGCGCTTTTAATAAATGATAAAATGTAATGAATGCGGTTTTTTTTTAAATAAGTATAATTGTGTGATGAACATCTGAATGTATGTGATTGTTTTAAACAACAAACAAACAATACTGTCAATACATGCAATAATTGTAATCAATTTCTCACCACTTCAAGCATTGCCTGCCAATAAACCAGCAATAGATCCTCAGAAATCCTCATCAACGCCGCAGAATTCTATTATTTCCTCGGAACTTGTATCAATATCTAGCCGATTAAGCTATATTTGGATTTCAACGCGTGATACTATTTTAAGGAAATGTTCATTGTCCAGTAATCATCATTATGGCCTACAGTTTCAAATTAACAACAATCTACACCTGCTCCTATGGATCTTGTTATCAGGAGACGTTGCTATCAATCCAGGTCCCGGTAGTAAATATTTTCGGTGTCTTTTCTTCAATGCCCAGAGTACTACAAAATTACCTGTTGGGACTTACAACGACGCACACTCCCATTATCCATCTCTGTGTAGTGACTTGCCAAGCGGACTTCGAATCACTCAGTGGAATCTGCGAAGTTTAGCACCGAGAATTAATAACACTAAGCTAGATGAAATAAAACTAATTCTAAAGGACCCAGGCAGCGAAACACACATTCTAGGTGTTACGGAATCTTGGTTAGACGAGTCAATTGATGACACATGTATTAAAATCAATGGTTATACACACGAAAGAAGCGACAGATCTTCAAAAACATTACCAATTGATAAGCACCATGCAGGCGGAATTATTGTTTACGTTAAGGAGGACATTCCCTATTTTAGAAGAAATGATCTTGAATCTATCAATGTTGAATCGATCTGGTTACAACTTTGTCCACCTAATAGTCCGGCTCACCTTATTTGTGTAGCATATAGATGTCCTGAGTACACCATATCGCAGTGGATTGAAAACTTTGAAATGCAACTAAATAAAGCTTATGTGGAAGGCCATCAACTAACAATAATGGGAGATTTTAACATCGATGTTTCGAAAAATACCAGTGACTCTCAATGTTGGTTGGAATCTATGGGTGACTTACATCTTCACCATGCAGATTGTTACAGAATCAACAAGAGTTACAGAAAATACATCAACACTTCTAGATCACGTATTTACATCCGTCCCACATAAAATTAGAAGCGTTAAAGTCCCATGAATTGGAATTAGTGATCATTATCCAACTTGCGTAGTATTTAAAGATAGTTTTGGTAGGAAACATTCACACACGACCATCAAGTATCGTTGCTATAAAAACTTTAACGAAGAAGCCTTTTGTAAAGACTTATCTCAAATCCCTTGGGACACAATCGATATATTTGATGATGTTGACAATGCTTTAGAGGCGTGGTACAATTTATTCCTTGACGTGATTGACAAACATTTACCTTTGCGAGAAAAACGAGTGAAAAAACAACAACAACCTGATTGGATGACCTACGAGATTATTCAGTGTATGGCCCAAAGGGATCATTTCAAATCGATCAACGAAATGGTAAATTATAAGACCTACAGAAACCGTTGTGTGTCGTTAATCAGGGATGCAAAAACTACCTACTATAAAACTTGTGTTGAAGATCATAAAGGTGATTCGAAGAAATTGTGGCA